GCACCTTTCATACAGGGAGGTGTAGCTCAAAGTGCTTTACAACAAAATAAAAACAGACAAATACAATTTTAAAAAAACAAAAAAAAAACAAGTGCAAATCCTGCACAATGAAACCAAGAATAATATAATATGTAAAAGATAAAAGTAAAACAGCGGAATGCATGGAAGTAGATAAAAAATGTGAACGATGGGGATAAAAATCAGGGAATAGTGACTTAGTTGAAAGCAATGTTGAATAAATAAGTTTTCAATTGTTGTTTGAAAATGTTCACAGAGCTTGTATCTCTTATATCCTTGGGTAGTGAGTTCCATAATTTTGGTGCATAGTTAAAAAAGGCTGAGCTGCCAATTTTCTTATTAGAGTAGTTTGTATTTAAAAAGCCGGCAGCAGAGGATCTAAGAGGCCGTGAAGGATTATAAAACGACAAAGAATTAGTAATGTAGGCTGGTCCCAACCAGAGCATGCGAGCGGAGCGGGTGAAAATTTCCGCTCCTCGCTCGCAGACCTGTCATTTTGCCCTGTTCGTCTGCTCCGCTTGGTTCAGCGCATTCTTCGCTCCGCTCCGCTCCATCATAAATTTTATCCCGCTCCACTCGCTCACCACTCCGCTCAAAACAACTGCATCGTACTACCCTAACCTGTAATCTTCTATTCACAAATAAAACGGGGTCTGCCCATTTTTCCGACAGCCCATTGGTCCGACATCCCATTGTTCCGACCATATTAAACCCATTGTTCATGATGCCCTGTGGTTAAGGTCTGGTTAGGTTTAGGCACAAAAACCACTTGGTTAGGGTCAGAAAAAAAATCATGGTGTGGGTTAAAATGAAAAAGAAAGTGGTAAACACATAAGCCGTGAGCCTGCTTCAACTCAAGCCTTTCCCAGCTGACCCAGAGTTGGTCTCTGCGTACCATCAAGGCAGAAATATGCCCGCTGGGAGCCATTCAGCACCGCGGAGAGCTCCCCACACGACCCCGACCCCAGAGTTAATAACAGGAGGTTATGGTGTTTCATTCTCTCCTCTCTATGACACTTGTATCTCGACCAGTAGCCTACTTTTTTTGCGTTGCTGATCCTCTATGGTACACAAATAGGCTACAGTAATAATCACATATCGAAACAACGGGACGTCTGACTAATGAGAGGTCGGAACAATGAGAGGTCGGAACAATGCTACGGCACCAATAAAACATGAGCTTGGTAGATTCTCCGGGGAAGCCCCTCATCTCTCCCCGCAGTTAGGGACCGTTCTACACGGTACCGCTGGCAGGGTGGAAATAGTCAAAGTGTGGAGGAGACGGACCAGGTTAAGCGGCCGACCTCCGAAGCCCTCTCGCCTCTCCCCGCAGTTAGGGACTGTTCTCCACGGTACCGCTGCTTCTCTTCTCAGTTTCTTTTCTGAAGTACACAGTAAACTCCATAGTTTTGAAAGAAAATAGTGTGGGTGTGCGCAGGTGCAAAGATGCATTCTGGATGGGGCATGAGCGACCGGAGCGAAATTGGAGCGAGAGATAAGGCTCCGCTCCACCTTTTAAAAAAATAGCCGCTCCTCGCTCAACGCAAAATCCTCCCGCTCCCCGCTCCGCTCTGCTCACATGCTCTGGTCCCAACCCATTAAGAGCCTTAAAAACGAGTAAAAACTTTAAAATCAATCCTAAAAGATACTGGAAGCCAGTGAAGGTTAGCTAAAACTGGGGTGATATGCTCTCTCTTTCTTGTTCTAGTTAACAGCCTGGCAGCAGAGTTCTGAATTAATTGTAATTTGTCAATGGATTGCTTTGGAAGACCAGTGAAGAGAGCATTACAGTAGTCAAGTCTGCTTGAAATGAAAGCTGTTTTGGTCACCTTCTTTATGTGAGATTTAAAATTTAGGTCTGAGTCAAGGATAACATCCAGGTTCGTGACTTCAGATTTAACCTGCACAGCCAAACTGCCATGTTTGGTAAGAATTATCTCCCGTTTTGCTTGGGGACCAACTAATAAGATTTCGGTTTTGTCACCATTTAATTTAAGAAAATTGGTTTGCATCCACTTGTCTACTGCAGCCAATCCAGATGTTAGATGACAGATGGATTGGGTCTAGTGAAATATATAGTTGGGTGTCATCTGCATAGCTGTGGAAATTGAGGTTATGTTCTCTGTGTCATCACCTAATGGAAGCATGTACAGTGAAATATAAGAACTGGAAACTGACAATACACTGATATATGGGTCTGATAACATTTTTAATAAATCGACATCACATCAGACAGGATGTGAGTGTTTCTGTGACTTCCTGTACGGACTGAAGGCTGCTGGAAACTGTCGGGAAACTGTCCGACTTCACCGCAGCTTTTTGTCACCGCCCCCGGCTGCAGCTGTCTGCTCTTGTCTACTTTCCAAGCAAGGCACAGTTCCTCTCAAATGAGCCTATTGTCTCAGGAAAAGAATGATTTTGTCGGAGACAGACAAAAAAACAAAAGGAGAGCGTAATTCATTGCATTTTGTCCTTTTTTTTGTGAGCTGCAGACACTGCTAGAATCCTGGGCTGTAGGTAGAGGAGTTAGAAGCCACAGATGTAAAGGAGGATGGTGTTCCTGAAGAGCCAGCTGCATTAATGGTTGACCAAGTTAAACTGGTTGTTGTACTGGTAAGTGACGTGACGGAGGTGTCGTCTTCTCTTTCTCTACATGTACGAGGACCATCTAAATCGGACTCAGGTCGAGACCTCTGCAAGCCAAGGCCAATGGTGCATTCATCCGCTGCTTGGGTGGTTGTTCTTCAGAGTTCAGTGTGTTAATGAGATTTAAGTTTTAATGTGGAAACAACATGGACACTACAAAGAAGATGTGTTGTATTTTATTGCTCAGAGCATTTAAACAACACATAGATTATAAGACCAAAGGAAACAGATCGGGTGAGCCATGAAATATGATGGGGTCAGTCATTCTTCAGATTTTTCTAACATCATGTGAATGCAGGACAAGGCTGTGGAGGTTACTGAGATGGCTGCAGTGCTATGTGCCTCAAAGAAGTTTACATTGCCTATGTGGGATGCGGAAATGTGTTAAAGTGAATATTAGCTTTATTGATGTAAACTTATACATGACTGGTACTGCAATGAAGAGGAGTTTTGTGGGGCGGGCAGCACGAGCTGTCAAATGTGCATGTCCTTTGCGGAGTGTTACAGAGAAACTCACACCATGTTTTGGTAAATGAATGAAACCCCATGTGTGTAGAGAGACGTGAGCTCTGAGTTTCAGAGTCATTAAGGTCACATGTGAGCCGTTGACCCACCTGGCCATTGTCTGTCGTTAGGGTTAGATGGGTCCAGGTGTGAATGGGTGTTAAGGTGTCTGGGGAATAAACTTAGGACTGCATTGTAAGTGGTGTTGTAGGCCACTTTCTCTGTTTAACAGTGGTCATTCCAGTTTGACGTAGATGGCTTCTTTCACTCTTCTTTCAAACCATTTGTCTTCTCTGGCCAAGATGTGTACATTGCTGTGCTGGAAGGAAATGTGCCCTCTCCTTTAGATGAAAGTGGACAGCTGAGTCTTGACCCAAGGAGCTGGCTCTCTTGTGCTGTGCCATGTGCTTGTGGAGTGGTTGTTCTGTTTACCCAGTGTACAATCTGTGCAATCCTGGCTTCATTGAACTGCATACACTACTCATTACTCAATAATGTAGTGTTTGCTGCTGTATATAAATCAGCTGAGCAAACCTGTCCTCCTCAAACAACAGAAATACATTAAAAACATTGGCCCAACAGTCAAAGACAGAACAGAAATACAAGACAAAGAATCCTCAAAACCCACTTACTGCAAGTCTCTGTGTTGCTAAATACTACAGTAATTAAAACAGTCCAATATTGATATACAATAGACTCTGTTTAGTTTATGATCTAAATGAGTGTATTTAGTCTGACTACTAAACTTTACCATCAGTCACACAACATGTAATCTGTTAAGAGAATAAACCTTCAAATCGGACAAATAAAATAAAACTCTCTCCAATTCAACACAAATGAAAAGTTTATATAAAACTTCATATTGTTGAGTCAACATCTAAACCAATCAGCTGTTACGAGGCAGGCGTTTCCCATCATGCCCTGGGTCATGCAGTTGGTGGAGAGCAAAAGCAGTGCCTGGTTCTAAAAACTGCAGCGCCTCAATCTTTTGAGAATATCGTTATTCACTTGTGCACGATGTCAGAGCAAGTCGGGATGAAGCTGGACGCAAATCCAACTAGCATGCGTTGTGCAGTGATCAGCTGTGATAATTCTGCCTAGGCCTGGCTCATCTCGAATGAACCTATTATTAACAATGTGGCAAGGTTGCAAGGCACTGCCATTGGGAGGTGCCGTTGCCATGAGGGGGTGTACTTGGTCTGAAATAGTGTTTGGGTGTCTGGTGCATGTCAAGTGACATCCACATGAATGTTTCCAAGTAGAACATTGCATTGTAGAAAGGTCTCAAGTCCACTCTTAAATGTGGAGACAATGTCCGCCTCCTGGACTTAAACTGCAAGATGGTACCTCATAAGAGGTGCCTGATGGCTGAAGGCTCTGGCTCCCATCCTACTTTTGGAGACATCAGGAAAAACTAGTAACTTTGCATTCTTGAAGTGCAGTGATTTGTTGGGATAATATGGTACTATCTCTGAGATATGATGGAGCCTGACCATGGGTCATGAAAACAGCATATTCTGATTCAATATTCTAAATAAGACCTTCTTTTGAATGTAGCGTTTTCTGATTAAGACATGGGACATGCCTGCATTTGTCAGGTTTTAGGAGCGTTCCTTGGAAATGTATACAGCACCTTTAGAATATGCTTCTCAATTGGGGTGTTCACCGCAATTTGCAACCCACAGCATCTTACCTTATCATCAAGTGTTGTTTTGTTTTTGTTTTTTTTTAAAGACAAAAACAAGTCTTGAAATGTGTTTTACTGCCCAGACTTCCATGTAGAGTTTATTCAAATGCATGAGTCTCACTTTACCACCTTGTACTTTCATTAGATTGGAGTCTTGTTTGGATCAACCAATGGATTCAAGCAGTGTCCATGAAGTGATCAAGTATCTTCCCTCACCACTACCAGGTGAAGAGATTTTGTTGCTAGTAGTGCATCTGTAAGACAGTCTGAAAAAATCTGAGCTGCAGTTAATGTCAGAAATCAAACCACACTTTAAACATGTTGTTTCATTTCCTCTCCCTCTCAGTCAAACATTACGATGCTGAAACCACTGAACCAATCAGTTGTGGTCTTCAAACTTTGGAGGAGCTGTTGTTGTGGAAACGAAGTGAGGCAAACCCCTTCAATGTGGCAGTAGTCCCCCTGGCACCTCGGGAGCCTCCCCTGACTAGTTGTCTACGTCGGACATTGGTGTCTCATGACATGATGGGTGGCTACCTAGATGACAGGTATGGATGCATAGTTTGGGATTAAAAACTTGTAGTTTTCTGGTCATTGAGACCTCTGCTTCTTAAAGTTATACTCCCTTCCTTCGAGCTCATGACTCATGTACAGTTCACAAGGATATTTCAAGACTTTGGGGCACTACTTGGTGCTATAGGTAGTGTACACTTCATTGTCCAAAATGCATGCACGCCTGAACACAACTCTGATATATGACTGTTGAGCATGTCATTCCAAAGCCGTGTAACATGTAACTTTTGTGGAAGATGTTGAACCTGCTGCAGTGATTTACTCTCATTCAAACACAAGAGCATCAGTAGGTGATCAGGTCTGGACATTGGATGGGGTTGAAGTGTGGGCTCTGGCTTTGTATACATATGTTAAGGCTGTCAGCATTAATGCGTTAATCACGATGCAGTTAAGGTCTATACATAATGCCTTTTTTTATATGCTTTTTTTTATGTGATTGCATTTATCTTGTGCTGCTATTTTGTCTCTTCAGTGAACCCTTACTTAAAGCTATAGTGCGTAACTTCTGTCACCTCCCAGCATTATTACAACTAATAAGCCGGCGGCACTTCTATGTACACAGAGTAACATTCGCCACACACCGTGTACACAGAGTAACACTTGCCAGTCGCCACACACCGTGTACACAGAGTGACACTGGCCAGTCGCCACACACCATGTACACAGAGTAACACTCGCTACACACCGTGTACACAGAGTAACACTCGCTTCACACCGTGTACACAATGCTACACAACGTGGCGAACACCAGGCTGCTAACATTACATTACGTTCATAGCACCATTTCCAAGAAAATAATAAAGTACTAGGTCCAGTACATGTAACAGCAACACATAGTACTCATAATACCGTAAGAAACCTCGGAGTAATATTTGATCAAGATTTGTCTTTTAATTCTCATTTAAAACAAACCTCACAGACTGCATTTTTTCATCTGCGTAATATTGCGAAAATTAGGCCTATCCTGACCCGAAAAGATGCAGAAAAATTGGTCCACGCTTTTGTTACCTCTAGGCTGGATTACTGTAACTCTCTATTATCAGGTAGCTCTAGTAAGTCCTTAAAAACTCTCCAGCTAATTCAGAATGCAGCAGCACGTGTACTAACAGGAACTAAGAAACGAGATCATATTTCTCCTGTTTTAGCTTCTCTGCACTGGCTCCCTGTAAAATCCAGAATTGAATTTAAAATCCTACTGTTAACTTATAAAGCTCTAAATGGTCAAGCTCCGTCATATCTTAGAGAGCTCATAGTGCCATATTATCCCACCAGAACACTGCGCTCTGAGAACGCAGGGTTACTCGTGGTCCCTAAAGTCTCCAAAAGTAGATCAGGAGCCAGAGCCTTCAGCTATCAGGCTCCTCTCCTGTGGAATCATCTTCCTGTTACGGTCCGGGAGGCAGACACCGTCTCCACATTTAAGACTAGACTTAAGACTTTCCTCTTTGATAAAGCTTATAGTTAGGGCTGGCTCAGGCTTGCCCTGTACCAGCCCCTAGTTAGGCTGACTTAGGCCTAGTCTGCCGGAGGACCCCCTATAATACACCGGGCTCCCTCTCTCTCCCTCTCTCTCTCTCTCTCTCTCTCTCTCTCTCTCTCTCTCTCTCTCACTCTCTCCCTATTACTGCATCTTGCTAACTCGGCCATTCTGGATGTCACTAACTCGGCTTCTTCTCCGGAGCCTTTGTGCTCCACTGTCTCTCAGAATAACTCATACCGCAGCGGTGCCTGGACAGTGTGACGTGTGTGGTTGTGCTGCTGCCGTGGTCCTGCCAGATGCCTCCTGCTGCTGCTGCCATCATTAGTCATTAGTCATACTTCTACTGTTATTATACACATATGACTATTGTCACACAAGTATACTGTCTGATATTAATACATACTTTCAACATATTGTACCACAGTAGCCAGAACTATAACTATAATATTATTACTTTCATTAATGTTGTTGTAAGCTACTGTCATTACCTGCATCTCTCTCTCTCTCTCTCTCTCTCTCTCTCTCTCTCTCTCTCTCTCTCATTGTGTCATATGGATTACTGTTAATTTATTATGCTGATCTGTTCTGTACGACATCTATTGCACGTCTGTCCGTCCTGGAAGAGGGATCCCTCCTCAGTTGCTCTTCCTGAGGTTTCTACCGTTTTTTTCCCCGTTAAAGGGTTTTTTTGGGGGAGTTTTTCCTTATCCGCTGCGAGGGTCCAAAGGACAGAGGGATGTCGTATGCTGTAAAGCCCTGTGAGGCAAATTGTGATTTGTGATATTGGGCTTTATAAATAAAATTGATTGATTGATTGATTGATTGATTGAATTGACTTTGTCATTATGGGGCACTGAGTGTAGATTAATGTGGAAAAAAAAATAATTTAAATGATTGTAGCATCAGGCTGCAACATAACAAAAGTGACAAAAGTGAAGGGGGTCTGAATACTTTCTGAATGCACTGAATCTACTATGTAATGTCATGCCATGCTCTCCTTTGTTGTCAAGGTTTGTCCAGGGCACCAATGCAGAGGCTCCATATGCCTTCTACCACTGGCAGTACATTGATATTTTCAACTACTTCACACACAACCTGGTGACCATTCCTCCTGCTGTGTGGACCAATGCTGCACATAAACATGGAGTCATTGTTCTTGGTGAGTGAAAAGGCCGAATATAGCAGAACCAGGCCCAATTTAGTAATGCTGGATATTATCATTTGATATAGAATTTGATGCACGAATATTTCAGTACTGTCTTAATCAGGCTTTCTGTCTTCATGTTTAAAATGTTCCATTTCCCAGGGACTTTGATCACTGAGTGGACTGATGGAGCCGCAGTGTGCGAGGCCTTCCTAAAAGATGAGGAGTCATACCGGGCAGTGGCTGATAAACTAGTCCAGATCAGCCACTGCTACGGCTTCGATGGCTGGCTCATTAACATAGAGAACTCCCTCAGTGTGAGTGATACTTCTAAACTGGCCATCACTTTACTTAGACTGATATTCTGTGCCCATAAATAAGCCATACACTGAGATACTCAGTTATGATTTTGATTTTCTAAATCAAAATTTGGAGGTCATAAGTTAAAAATTAAATTTACCAAGTCAAATTATAATTTACGACATCTAAAAATAATAACATGCTTAGTCTTTACTTAATATGAGTACTTTTATTTTTTTTATACCTAACTCTCCAGCATAGATAGGGTTTCTTCTTAACTCCACTCTCAATTTGATTTCCTGTTAATCATACATTTCTGTACTTTGTACAGCCTTAATGTGCCCCTTATTTGGATGACAGCCACTTTGTGTCATTTATTTGCTTAGCACAGCCTCTAAATTCATGAAAGCAATTTGGTTTGCTTTCTCTTAATGTAAAAATAAAATATGTGTAGCTTTTATAAGAACAAATGGGTTATTGCTCAAAGGCAAAAGAATTCTATTACAGTGCACTAGTACAATTAGAATTAAACAAAGTAATATTCCTAGCAACTCCATTTTGAGACCTGTAGACAGATCCCAGCCCATCCACATTAACTTGCAATTTTTACTTCTTTGTACAAATATTTTGAGGATGAAATATACTGAATTTTGTGATCCCTGTCTATTTGTCCAACACTACCAGCAGGTCAAAAATGTCACTCAACCTGTGAAGTATTTCACCATTTGAATATATATATATATATATCTATATCTTAGTTGTTGAATGGACTGCCATTAAATGTGGTACACAGACATTCAGGATAGGATTAATTACAATGGCTTTGGTGACGCTTTGACTTTTCATCTAGCGACACCATTGGGTCACATTTTAATGTGTCCATTACTTGAGTTTACGACCAAATACTTGCAGAACTAATGACATGCCCTTCATCCTCAGGCGGAGATTGTGTTCACTGATGATTATCAAATGTTAGCATGCTCAACATCACACATTTTGTCGTGGCTTTCTCTTTAACATCTTGATATTTACCATGCTAACTGAAGCATGCAATGTCCTGCTTGTTTTGTCCCCTGCTGGCAGACGGATGCAGTGAAGAACACACCTTTGTTCCTGCGCTATCTGGCAGACCAGATGCACGAGCGACTGTCTGGCAGCCTGGTCCTGTGGTACGACAGTGTGATCGAGAACGGACGACTAACATGGCAAAATGAACTCAACCAGTCCAACAGGTAGAGACATCGGTTCCTTTATGGTTTGAAAACTTAAAGTGAAACAGACAACTCCAATTTTTCCAAGTGGTATTATTATTGGTGTCAGTGTTGCAAGTTTTCTTTGCTGTTTTCATCTGAGCCTTGCCTGCTCTGAGGCTCTTTTTCTTTTGCCGGGTAGAGTTTCCACAGTTTCTTTCATTGTTCCTTTGTCTGCCATTTCTACTACTGGGGATAGTAACTGCAGTACTTTCACTGATACTGTTTGGTAACCAGGGATAGCCACTGGGAAATATGAAAGCGCTATCCTCTTCCCGAAGGTTGACACCCTTCTTTCGTGTTGTAAATCTAGCCTTCATTTTCCCGGGAGATTGTAGCCAGTGGCAGACAGAATTGCATTGTGAAAGCGAGGCTTATGAGTAACCAATCTAAAAGCCACAAAATGTCCACAGGCTGAGATCAGTGCATAAATAGTCTATTTATTGAAGACATCTGTGGTACAGCCCTGCGCGGGACTGTTTTCTTCAACCCGCTCCTGCCCGCTCCCGCTGAATTTCTGACCATTGCCGCCCACAACCGCAACGTGTGTATTACACTCCCGCCCGCTCCCGCAATGTGTATGTCCACTCCCACCCGCACCCGTAAAACTCTGAGAATTTCTGCCCGCACAATAATAGAGATTGATGATTTTGTGTCTTCTCCCGTCCCGCAGGAGAAAACACGTCATTTTATAGGCTGTTAATAAAGAGATTCATGGGGTTGTTTGTTTTGTTTCCCTGGCCTGCAGTCTTTTGACACACTGGTCAGGAATAGCACTCCTATTTCGTTGTTTTCATTTAGTTTTTAACGAAATAAAGGCTGCTTCATATTCTATTCTCCTCCTCTGTATTTTATTTATTTTTCTACCTTTATATAATCACGCAGTGATTGAGGTTAAGGCAGGCCTGGCACCAGGATGAAGTTACTGAGGGGGCGGTTAAAAATTATGAGGGGGCAAATCTTTATTATGCAACATAGGTTCACACAGTGAGTTATAAAGAGTGCGCAGCCGTGCGTAATTGTCGCGCGTAATGACAGCTCGTTGCCAGTGAAACACAATAAACTGCATGTCTTCTTTCATGTTTGTCTCATGACAGATGGAGCTGACAGACAAACAGACAGGTGGAGCAAGCGGCAAATTGGTATGAAAGCTGGTTCAGGCCAGGGCCTATTTGTCCATTTATGAATAAATATAGAGTGGAAACGCTTATGCATGTGCACCAAGATCCTGCAGTGGTTTTTTTTAGCCGCCCGTTCCCGCCTGCAGCAAAGTCCAAACTGCCCGCTCGCGCAATATTTGCATTGGGACCCGGCGGGACCCAGTCCCAATGCAGCCCTCTAATCTGTGGACTGATGATAGTCTGGGACTGAAATGTTAACTGCTGTATATTCACAATCATGTTTTTGCGCTTCGAGCACTTTTTTGTGCACAAATGTTCTAAATAACTATACTAGTTCTCAGCCTGTGGACCTTTTTGTGGCTTTGTAGCCTAGTTACATTGGTTTGCGGGTATCTCTTCTGCTGTCCTTTCTTGTTTGACTTGTACTGACACACCCAATACAACCTTTTTTGTTGCCCAAGCAGGCGCAGTTTCACAGCAGCCCTAAGTCATTAATCTATAGCCATTATATTGTGCAATCATCATTTAAACTTCACAGTGAAAAGTTAAGGCAAAAAAAAATCCTTTTCCACCTGAAAATTAGTAACAGAAGTAAATGCAACCCCAATTCCAAAAAGTTGGGATGCTGTGTAAAACAAAAATAAAAACTTGATAAAAAATAAAAATGCAATGATGTGCAAATCTGTTTTGACCTTTACTTAGATATGAAGATATGCATTGTTCAAACTGATACACTTTATTGTTTTTGGTAAAGATACACTCATTCAGAGTTTGATGCCTGGAACACATCTGAAAAAGTTGGGACAGGAGCATGTTTACCACTGTGTTAAATCACCTTTTCTTTTAACACTCATTAAGCATTTGGGAACAAAGGACATTAATTGTTGAAGTTTTAAAAGTGAAATTCTTTACCAGTCTTGCTTGATGTACGACTTAAGTTGCTCAACAGTCGTATTTTGCGCTTCATAATTTGGATGGCAGGCAGGTTGGTCTAGTGCCTGCACTCTTTTACTACGAAGTCATGCTGTTGGAACACATGCAAAATGTGTCTCATTGTCTTGCTGGAATAAGCAGGGACATCTCTGAAAAAGACATTGGGCCTCATTCACTAATATGTGCGTGGAAATGTTCTTACTTTGCGCACAAAATAAGTGCTTATTTAAAATCACTGTGGGATTCATGACACCTGTTCATTGGCCATTTTTGTTCTCACCACCTTGCGTATGTGTGTGAATCAGAATCATTCTAAATTGACAGGCGCGTGCTCGCAATTTGTGATTAGCATACTACCACGCCCCCATATCTCCATATAAGGAAACCACTTGCCTAGAGTTGATTCATGAATGAAGGAAGCGGTTACGCGAGGAGAGAAGTACTAAAGTTCACAGTTTGTTAGAAGCAATGGCGCCAAAAGGCAAAAACAAAAGAACTTTACAACCACAGAAATCGAAACAATTGTGTCCGAGGTGGAAGCCAGAAAAGGAATTTTCCAGAGTGTCTCTTCGGGAGTAACCATGGCAAAAAAAAAAAGGCTGTCAACGTAGTATCCCGGAGAAGCGCACTGTGTGAAAAAAAAGTGGTTCGACATAAAAGTTGATGCCAAAAAACGCATTACGGGTGGAGGACAAAGTCCACCTGATCTAACGCCACAGGATGAGAGACTAGCAGCAATAATTGGACAAACATCCATTCATGGAATATGTCCAGGAAATGAAGGTGAAAGTGATGACATCCAAGGAGAACCCCAAGGTAACTTTACTGTTATATTTGCAATTATGTGTGTTCCTAATTAACAGGCACAAGTCAATCGGGAAAACATTTTATTCAAATGAAAATGGCAAATCCGTTTGCAACAGTTTAACAACTTAATATGAATCGTAGGCCCAGACGATGCAGTGGATGAACCAGTGCCATCGACCTCTCACTCCCAGCTGCCAGCCCCACAGTCAATGCCTCAGAGCACGCCTCAGGAGTCTCATCGGCATGCCCATGTCCTGACTGACGAAGTTGTCCAAAATCAGCTGGCTCTCCTGGATGCAGTGAAGGAAATAGCGACAGGCATAAATAACATAAACGAAACACTGAAACAGTTATTGAATGTCCTCGCCAATAAATAAGTGCATGTGTATTGAAGTGCTGTGTGTTTAATTTACTTAATAAAAATGTAGACAAAGCCGAGGGAAGAATCATAACTTATTCAGTTTGCATTTTGAAATTACGCATTGTAACTTACCATCATTAAAGACGCTGCATCAATTCATGACAGGCCTGAATTGCAGCCCTGGCAGGAGGTCCCACATGTGGCTATGCGTCCTCTTGCGCGTAGTTTTGTGGCTGCGCACCGGGTCTTACAGGAATGCCAGGGGTCATTGCAAGATTGTGGAGGACACAGCATGCCAGGATGATCTTGCACACCTTCTCAGGGGTATAAAGTAGTTTGCCACCGGCTGTATCCAAACACATCCAACGGCCCTTAAGCACGCCAAAAGTGTGCTCTATTACGGCGCATGTGTGGGCATGTATGTTATTATAGTGCACCTCTTGAGGGGTTTCAGGGTTTGCGTATGGTGTCATCAGCCATGTTTTAAGGCCGTATCCCCGGTCACCTAAACAATATAACATTTTAGCATTAACGGAATAGAGACTTACTAAAAATCCTAACTAAAAACAATTGAAATAAAAGACAAGAACAAAAGATGCTCACCAACAAGCCATCCACTTCTCACAGCCCCTGCCTCCAAACGCATTCCCACTGTACTGTTTTGCAAAATAAATGAGTCATGGGTGCCTCCTGGCCAGCGGGCCACAGCGTTAAGGATATGGCAGTCGGCATTACAGATCATCTGCACGTTGATGGAGTGATAGTTTTTTCTGTTCATGTATTGCATTGAGTCAATCGATGGAGCATTCATGCGCATATGGGTACAGTCTGTTGCGCCAATTGTATTTGGCATTCCAGCTATGCCATGGAACCCCCTCTTCACATCGGTCTGATTATGTTCATCATATGGGAATTTGATATATTCAGGCAATAGCCTTAGGATGCCATTTAATACCCGTGGGATGACACAGCTCAGAGAGGGTTGTGAAATCCCAGCCCAGTCTGCTATTTCTCTCTGAAATGTACCTGTAGCCAGGAAACTGAGGGTGGACAGGATTTGCACCTGATGAGGTATCGGATGAGAACGGCGTGTCGGGTGATTTAGATGCTCCAGAGAATCGCATAGTTGCAATAGCACATGCCTTGGCAATCGGAAACGGCTGATAAGCCATTCATCATTTTTCTCAAACATGTTGTGTCGGTCCCTGAATACGCGCTCTCTCCTAAGGGCATGGGCTGCAATATCCTCTAGCAAGGCTAGATATGCCATCTTAACACTTGCTCAGGTGAATCAGAATCGTTTATATACCCTGCATGCCCTTTAAAATGCTACCAATTAAACAATTGACTTTGGCCACAGATGCATAAGGCTGGTGTGTGCCACCAGCCTTGCAGCAGCTAGCCTCCACCAGCCCTGCAGCAGCTAGCCTTCACTAGCCCTGCAGCAGCTAGCCTCCACTAGCCCTGCAGCAGCTAGCCTCCAGCAGCCTTGCAGCAGCTAGCCTCCACCAGCCCTGCAACAGCTAGCTGCGCTCAGCTATTGTTTTTCATCATGGCAAATGTAGTGCTTGCTCTTCTGGCTTTTTTCTCTCTGCCTACCATCAGCGAACTTGAAGTGGTTGGGAACAGTAGGCATCCCATTGAATACGGGGAAGACTGTACTACTCTAAATCATTACTTGCTTCCCAGAAAAAGCACCGGCTGGGATACCATTTTTTTCAAGTTCTGTCCCATCCGGACCATGCATTGTACTGATGATGCCATTTTGCCTCACTTTGTTGTATTATTTAGTGCATATGACTGGTTGCTATCGCTTTATTCTTATCCCCCAAGTCCTAGCAGTCCAAGGAATAGGCATAGTTCTATTCAACCAGTACCTACACACCCAGTGAGGAAGAAATGTTTTATTTTTCTTTTGCTTTTATTGTCTGGTAATATTGAACTCAACCCCGGCCCTGATATAAACTGTTTGAGTACTCCAGTTGATTTTAAATCCAGATCAGGGCTTGGTGTTGTATACCTAAACGTCAGAAGTCTATTGCCAAAACTTGACCTAGTTAAAATCTGGGTTAAATCGACTGACACTGACATTCTTGTCCTATCTGAAACTTGGCTAAAGAAATTCATCACAGACAAAGACATTGCTATTAAAGGTTACAATGTTTATCGTTGTGACTGTCCCAGAAAAGGTGGTGGCATAGCAATACATGTCAGACAGAAATTTCATGTTACTGTTCAATCATCTCTTTCCCTCAGCAGTCAATCTGAATTTCTTGCTCTGAAGTTGGAGCTTCTAAATGGACACTTTCTCACCATCGTAGGCTGCTATAGACCGCCCTCTGCTAGTAGTGAGACTTTATCATCATTGAATAAACAGCTTTCGACTTTAGACTTCAGTGAGATTCTTCTCACAGGAGATCTGAACTGGGATTGGTTATCTTCTGTTTCTGATAGTTTTAAATCTATGAGTGATTCTTTTAACCTAATACAAATAGTTAACGGGTCAGTACGCCCAAACCTTAAATGTCCAGAGAAATCCTCTCTTCTTGATTTATTCTTAACTAATTCTCCTCATAAATATTCAGATATTGGTATTTTTGCAAAAGATATGAGCGATCATTGTGTTATAGCCACTGTCAGACGAGCTAAGCTCCCAAAAGCAAGGCCACATATTATTCTAAAACGTGATTATAAACATTTTTGTGAGCAGGGTTTTCATCATGATTTATGGCACTTTGATTTGTCCAAGATCTCACTTTTTAATGATGTAGAGCTGACCTGGAAGTACTTTTATGATGCTCTTAGTATTATTATAAATAAACATGCCCCCCTCCGCAAATTTAGAGTGAAGGGTAGAAATAATCCTTGGTTCTCCCCTGAGTTGTCCAGCCTCCTTAAAGCAAGGGATGATGCCTGGGCTAAGGCCAGAAAATCTAAATTCCAGGATGACTGGCTGATATTCAAACAGCTCAGAAATCGCTTTACTTTCCTTGTTAAAAAGGCTAAGTCTGATTTTTATGTTGATAAAACTACCCGTAACCTAAATGATCCTAAGAAGTTTTGGAAAGTAGTCAAATCTTCATTTGGGGATGAAACCACAGACGAATTGCCTGTTTGCATAGTAAAAGATGCACATATTCTAGCTGACAAACCAGCCATTCTTAATTATTTTAATGAGCACTTTGTTTCTTCAGGATCTCTATTTGAGTCCTCACATCCACATCAATCAAATGTACAAGGGGTTTGCCTTCAATCACCACCTTTTAATGCTACTGCTTCAGGATTTGATCTGACTCCTTTTGATGTAGCTGAGGTCCTTAGGGCTCTACAGCAATTGGGTCTAAGTAAATCTGCCGGACCTGACAATCTTGAGCCCTTCTTTTTGAGGTCAGCTGCAGATTTTATAGCAGAACCTCTGTGTCATATTTTTAATTTAACTGTTTCTGAAAATAAGATTCCGAGAATATGGAAGTCTGCTTATGTTCTTCCCCTGCTGAAAGGTGGTGATCCCTCCATAGTTAACAACTATAGGCCAGTCTCTAAACTGTGTGTTCTCTCCAAAGTTTTAGAAAAGTTGGTCAGTGAACAACTCAAATGCTTTTTAGATGCTCATGGTCTCCTCTCACAATATCAGTCAGGTTTTCGTAAACAGCACAGTACAATAACTGCCGCTGTTAAAGTGGCAAACAACATCATAGAGGCACTAGACGGCTGGTAATATTGTGCAGCTCTTTTTATAGACTTGTCAAAGGCATTTGACACAGTCGACCATGTCATCCTTGCAGATAGACTCCAAAAGATTGGCTTATCTAACCAGGCTGTAAACTGGTTCTCTAATTATTTATCAGGTAGAACGCAGTGTGTCCAGGCCGCTGGGTCTTTTTCCTCTTTCCTCCCTGTTCTAAAGGGCGTGCCTCGAGGTTCCATATTAGGGCACTGTTGTTCACAATTTATGTGAATAATCTTTGTGATAATTTGTCTGATGCTGTGTCCCATTTTTATGCTGATGATACAGTAATTTATTGTTCTTCTTCTTCAGCTTTAAAATCGCTTAAAGTGCTGAATGCAGATAAATCAAAGACCATGCTATTTTCAAATGGCAAGCAGCTTTCATCTCACCTTCCTAGGTTGTCAACTGTTCATGGGGTTGAAATTGATATGGTCACATCTTATAAATACTTAGGCATTCTAATTGATGAGAACCTGTCCTTTAAACTGCACATCGATAAACTCGTTTCTAAGCTGAAATTGAAATTGGGTTTCTTTTTTAGAAATAAATCATGTTTTTCATTGCAAGTCAGAAAACATTTGATCACCACAACTTTTTTACCCTTGTTGGACTATGGAGACCTGCTTTTTACGAATGCTCCTGATCAGTTTTTAAAGAAATTGGATACTGTATACCACTGTGCTTTGCGTTTTATTACTGGTTGCAGCTACCGTGTACATCACTGTTCCTTATATGCCATCGCACATTGTCCATCTTTCTATGTTCGTAGACTCTCTCACTGGCTGACCTTTATTTATAAATCTATTCTTGGACTTCTGCCTACATATTTGTGTTTACACATGTGTAGAAACCTCAGCCGATTTGGCCTGCGTTCTCAGGACATCATACAAATGCGGGTCCCGAGAGTCAGAACTGAACTGGGCAAAAAGGCTTTTAAATTTTCTGCACCGTCTACCTGGTACGATGTGCAGAAGGACTTGAAACTGACACATCTTGTAACTCTGGGGGAATTCAAGACAATTATAAAAGACAGAGAATTACGTTCAATTGGATCTTGTGATTGCACTGTGTAATCATGTAATCCCACTCTGGTTTTCCTGTAGTATGTGATCGTATTTTATTTGTGTCTTGTGTGTTTGGTGTAACCATTTTGCTTTTGTGCTGCCGTCTTGACCAGGTCACTCTTGGAAAAGAGGTTTTAAATCTCAATGAGTTTTTTTACCTGGCTAAATAAAGGATATTGATTGATACTGATTGAATCTGTATGGTCCTTTTTCTCTTTAGCCTGGATGACATAATGTCCATGGTTTCCCAAAACACTTTGAAATGTGGACTTGGCAGACCACAGCACTCTTTTCCACATTGTGTCAGTCCAGCTCAGATGAGCTCGAGTCCAGAGAAGTCAGCGGTGTGCCTGGATGTTGTTGATGCATGGCTTTCACTTAACATGGTAGAGTCTTAACTTGAATTTGTAGATGCAGCAATGAGCTGTGTTTACTGGAAGTGATATCCTTTATTCAGTCATGTTAGTCTTAAATGCAGGGATCGAAGGTCACTGGCATCTAGTATTGGTTTTCAGCCTTGTCCCCTAAGTGCAGAGATATCTTTGGATTTTCTGAATCTTTTGATGATGATAATTTGGATTGTAGATGGTAAAATCCCCACATTATGAGAGAGTTTTTCACAAAGTAGTGAACCTTGTGCCATCCTTGCTTGTGAACAGCTGAGCCTTTTGATTATGTGTTTTTCATACCCAATCATGATACTGTCAGCTGCTAGCAATAGCTTGTCTGCAATCGCGTGACTATTATGATGTGCAAAATTCAGATGGAGGGCAGGAAGTGTGAATTGGAAATAGAGGAACGTGACTACATAAAAGGGTTGGATGAACCTGCAGGCAGCAGGTATCATCAGAAAATTGAAACTCATGTTGGATGTGATCCATACAAATGAAGAAAAGTGTTTTTTCCTATAACTTGACCAAATTGCCTGTTCATTAATATCCAACATTGTATTGCAATCTCTCCATAACAGGATGTTTTTCGATGCTTGTGATGGTTTCTTCACCAACTACAACTGGACAGAGCAGAACCTGGAGTGGATGAAGGACTACAGTGGGGTCCAAGGCCGCCAGTCTGACGTCTATATTGGAGTGGATGTGTTTGCCCGAGGCAACGTGGTGGGAGGAAAGTTGGAAACCAATAAGGTAAACACTGTGGAACATGTGTTTCTGCTTATGAAGAAGCATTGATCTAGAGCCCTGCGCGGGACTGTTTTCTTCAACCCGCTCCTGCCCGCTCCCGCTGAATTTCTGACCATTACCTCCCGCAACCGCAACGTGTGTATTACACTCCCGCCCGCTCCCACAATGTGTATGTGCACTCCCGCCCGCACCCACAAAACTCTGAGAATTTATGCCCGCACGATAATAGAGATCGATGATTTTGTGTCTTCTCCCATCCCGCAGGAGAAAACACGTCATTTTATAGGCTATTAATAAAGAGATTCATGGGGTTGTTTGTTTTGTTTCCCTGGCCTGCAGTCTTTTTATAGCGCTCCTATTTCGTTGTTTTCATTTAGTTTTTAATGAAATAAAGGCTGTTTCATATTCTATTCTCCTCCTCTGTATTTTATTTATTTTTCTACCTTTATATAATCACGCAGTGATTGAGGTTAAGGCAGGCCTGGTGCCAGGATGAAGTTACTGAGGGGGCGGTTAAAAATTCCGAGGGGGCAAATCTTTATTATGCAACATAGGTTCACACAGTGAGTTATAAAGAGCGTGCAGCTGTGCGTAATTGTCACGCGTAATGACAGCTCGTCGCTGGTGTTTTTTTTTGTTGTTTATGTTGTTTTTTTTCTGAGGCTCACCCTTCTGATGAAAGATTGTTACACTTGAACAGTTTTAAATTAAAACAGGACGGCACACGTTGTGAAGGTAGATACTGTCACTATAAATGACTTTATAGTGGAAGAGGAAGAGAGAGTTCCTCGTTTGAAGCCTGAGTGGAGCCGACTTGTGAAGCAACCTGTAGCAACTTAGCTTGGTTTGCTAAGCTAATGGCTACATTCAGCCCTCCTTATGAAAACCAGCAACTTTTTAAGAAATACAGGATCATTGTCAACCTCAAGGAAGACATCCGAAGGCTGTCAGCGGAACTCAAGTCCCAATCTGAGCTGCTGACAAACACCCTGGACGTGGCTCACGAGCAGTCTCTACAGATCTCCTCATTAAAAGCTGCTCTTCAGGACACAGTAGCCTGGGATCCTACCTCCTCTCCTCCGCAGCCCAGCAGTTTAACGCCCCGTCGTAAGCCGCAATGGTTGGAGGTGGTGTTTCGGAGCAAAAAAAGGACCTCGCTCGGCATCGGTCTCTCATCCCACCTCAGCCTTTCCAACAGATTTGAGCCTCTGTCATCGCGGGTCGAAGCGCCGGACTCCGATAAGCTCAAGGATGATGCAGCCCATTCCACGTCTCCCCAGTCCGGGAGTCATCCTCTGCCGGCAGCTCCCCTCCTGGCTGAAAGCTGGCAGGCTCCCCGCGTGGACAGCTCTGTGTCCCCCCTCGCACACACCACGGAAACAGAGCGGCAACAGAGGAAACATATTTGCTTAACTCATAAAGGTGAGACTATGAAACTGAGCAATAACAAAGTTAACGGGTCACAAGCCAGTGCCAGGCCGAGAGCCAGAGAGCATTCGTCCAAAAACAAAGCTAAGAGGATATTCTGATTGGGGATTTTATAATGAGGCAGGTGGAAATGGCCAGGACTGAAAATCTAACTGTGAATAACACATCAGTCAGAGAGGTGGCAGCTTTGCTACCAGACATTATGTCTACATGGCCACATATTAAGAAGATTTTTATTCATGCTGGCTCATTTGACATCCTCACGAATAAATCTGGGTCTGAGACCCTAAAGAAAGACTTTTTGTTTTTATTGGAAACACTTAAAAAAAACTTCACTCAGGAGTGTCTTTCATCTCTGGACCTATCCCAACACTCAGCAGAGGTTGCGAGTCCTTCAGCAGACTCCTTGGCTTAAGCACCTGGCTGTCATCAGCCTGCCTCGAGCAACAGGTTGGATTTATTGACAATTTTAATATTCTTTGGAACATAAAAAGCCGCTTCATGCCAGACTGGATTCACCCAAACAACCTTGGCTCCAGACATCTTGGCTGCAACATACAGTACAGGCCAAAAGTTTGGACACACCTTCTCATTCAATGCGTTTTCTTTATTTTCATGACTATTTACATTGTAGATTCTCACTGAAGGCATCAAAACTATGAATGAACACATGTGGAGTTATGTACTTAACAAAAAAAGGTGAAATAACTGAAAACATGTTTTATATTCTAGTTTCTTCAAAATAGCCACCCTTTGCTCTGATTACTGCTTTGCACACTCTTGGCATTCTCTCCATGAGCTTCAAGAGGTAGTCACCTGAAATGGTTT